TCAGAGTCCCAGGTCTATCAGAGTCCCAGGTCTATCAGAGAGTCCCAGGTCTATCAGAGAGTCCCAGGTCTATCAGAGAGTCCCAGGTCTATCAGAGAGTCCCAGGTCTATCAGAGTCCCAGGTCTATCAGAGAGTCCCAGGTCTATCAGAGTCCCAGGTCTATCAGAGTCCCAGGTCTATCAGAGTCCCAGGTCTATCAGAGTCCCAGGTCTATCAGAGTCCCAGGTCTATCAGAGTCCCAGGTCTATCAGAGAGTCCCAGGTCTATCAGAGTCCCAGGTCTATCAGAGAGTCCCAGGTCTATCAGAGAGTCCCAGGTCTATCAGAGTCCCAGGTCTATCAGAGTCCCAGGTCTATCAGAGTCCCAGGTCTATCAGAGTCCCAGGTCTATCAGAGTCCCAGGTCTATCAGAGAGTCCCAGGTCTATCAGAGAGTCCCAGGTCTATCAGAGAGTCCCAGGTCTATCAGAGTCCCAGGTCTATCAGAGTCCCAGGTCTATCAGAGTCCCAGGTCTATCAGAGTCCCAGGTCTATCAGAGTCCCAGGTCTATCAGAGTCCCAGGTCTATCAGAGTCCCAGGTCTATCAGAGTCCCAGGTCTATCAGAGAGTCCCAGGTCTATCAGAGTCCCAGGTCTATCAGAGTCCCAGGTCTATCAGAGTCCCAGGTCTATCAGAGTCCCAGGTCTATCAGAGAGTCCCAGGTCTATCAGAGTCCCAGGTCTATCAGAGTCCCAGGTCTATCAGAGTCCCAGGTCTATCAGAGTCCCAGGTCTATCAGAGAGTCCCGGGTCTATCAGAGAGTCCCAGGTCTATCAGAGAGTCCCAGGTCTATCAGAGAGTCCCAGGTCTATCAGAGAGTCCCAGGTCTATCAGAGAGTCCCAGGTCTATCAGAGTCCCAGGTCTATCAGAGTCCCAGGTCTATCAGAGAGTCCCAGGTCTATCAGAGAGTCCCAGGTCTATCAGAGTCCCAGGTCTATCAGAGTCCCAGGTCTATCAGAGTCCCAGGTCTATCAGAGTCCCAGGTCTATCAGAGTCCCAGGTCTATCAGAGAGTCCCAGGTCTATCAGAGTCCCAGGTCTATCAGAGTCCCAGGTCTATCAGAGAGTCCCAGGTCTATCAGAGTCCCAGGTCTATCAGAGTCCCAGGTCTATCAGAGAGTCCCAGGTCTATCAGAGTCCCAGGTCTATCAGAGTCCCAGGTCTATCAGAGTCCCAGGTCTATCAGAGTCCCAGGTCTATCAGAGTCCCAGGTCTATCAGAGTCCCAGGTCTATCAGAGAGTCCCAGGTCTATCAGAGTCCCAGGTCTATCAGAGAGTCCCAGGTCTATCAGAGAGTCCCAGGTCTATCAGAGTCCCAGGTCTATCAGAGTCCCAGGTCTATCAGAGTCCCAGGTCTATCAGAGAGTCCCAGGTCTATCAGAGTCCCAGGTCTATCAGAGAGTCCCAGGTCTATCAGAGAGTCCCAGGTCTATCAGAGTCCCAGGTCTATCAGAGTCCCAGGTCTATCAGAGTCCCAGGTCTATCAGAGTCCCAGGTCTATCAGAGTCCCAGGTCTATCAGAGTCCCAGGTCTATCAGAGTCCCAGGTCTATCAGAGAGTCCCAGGTCTATCAGAGTCCCAGGTCTATCAGAGAGTCCCAGGTCTATCAGAGAGTCCCAGGTCTATCAGAGTCCAGGTCTATCAGAGTCCCAGGTCTATCAGAGTCCCAGGTCTATCAGAGTCCCAGGTCTATCAGAGTCCCAGGTCTATCAGAGAGTCCCAGGTCTATCAGAGAGTCCCAGGTCTATCAGAGTCCCAGGTCTATCAGAGTCCCAGGTCTATCAGAGTCCCAGGTCTATCAGAGTCCCAGGTCTATCAGAGTCCCAGGTCTATCAGAGAGTCCCAGGTCTATCAGAGTCCAGTCCCAGGTCCAGTCTATCAGAGAGTCCCAGGTCTATCAGAGAGTCCCAGGTCTATCAGAGAGTCCCAGGTCTAGAGTCCCAGGTCTATCAGAGTCCCAGGTCTATCAGAGTCCCAGGTCTATCAGAGTCCCAGGTCTATCAGAGAGTCCCAGGTCTATCAGAGAGTCCCAGGTCTATCAGAGTCCCAGGTCTATCAGAGTCCCAGGTCTATCAGAGAGTCCCCAGGTCTATCAGAGTCCCAGGTCTATCAGAGTCCCAGGTCTATCAGAGTCCCAGGTCTATCAGAGTCCCAGGTCTATCAGAGTCCCAGGTCTATCAGAGAGTCCCAGGTCTATCAGAGAGTCCCAGGTCTATCAGAGAGTCCCAGGTCTATCAGAGAGTCCCAGGTCTATCAGAGTCCCAGGTCTATCAGAGTCCCAGGTCTATCAGAGTCCCAGGTCTATCAGAGTCCCAGGTCTATCAGAGTCCCAGGTCTATCAGAGAGTCCCAGGTCTATCAGAGAGTCCCCAGGTAGTCTATCAGAGTCCCAGGTCTATCAGAGTCCCAGGTCTATCAGAGTCCCAGGTCTATCAGAGTCCCAGGTCTATCAGTCCCAGTTATCAGAGTCCCAGGTCTATCAGAGTCCCAGGTCTATCAGAGAGTCCCAGGTCTATCAGAGTCCCAGGTCTATCAGAGAGTCCCAGGTCTATCAGAGTCCCAGGTCTATCAGAGTCCCAGGTCTATCAGAGTCCCAGGTCTATCAGAGAGTCCCAGGTCTATCAGAGAGTCCCAGGTCTATCAGAGTCCCAGGTCTATCAGAGTCCCAGGTCTATCAGAGAGTCCCAGGTCTATCAGAGTCCCAGGTCTATCAGAGTCCCAGGTCTATCAGAGTCCCAGGTCTATCAGATCAGTCCCAGGTCTATCAGAGTCCCAGGTCTATCAGAGAGTCCCAGGTCTATCAGAGAGTCCCAGGTCTATCAGAGAGTCCCAGGTCTATCAGAGAGTCCCAGGTCTATCAGAGTCCCAGGTCTATCAGAGTCCCAGGTCTATCAGAGTCCCAGGTCTATCAGAGTCCCAGGTCTATCAGAGTTCCCAGGTCTATCAGAGAGTCCCAGGTCTATTAGAGAGTCCCAGGTCTATCAGAGAGTCCCAGGTCTATCAGAGTCCCAGGTCTATCAGAGAGTCCCAGGTCTATCAGAGTCCCAGGTCCCAGGTCTATCAGAGAGTCCCAGGTCTATCAGAGTCCCAGGTCTATCAGAGAGTCCCAGGTCTATCAGAGTCCCAGGTCTATCAGAGTCCCAGGTCTATCAGAGTCCCAGGTAGGGTTGGGCATCGTTTGCAATTTTCCGATTCCGATTCCGGTTCTAAACGATTCTCGATTCCGATTCTTTGAGGTGCAGGAGAGAAAAAAAAAAGATATATATATTTTTTTTTTTATCAAATTTTATTTCATAAGTACTTTTCCTGCCATAAGGCAACAGAAAGTGCTTTACATAAAAACAAATTAAATTAAAAAACAAGGAACACGAACACACACACACACACACACACACACACACACAAGCGGTGTTTATGTGGCACCGCCCACCATCATCTCAGAGCGGCTGAAATGTAAACACGTCTCGGTTTGCCCCCCTCCGGGGTGGAAAGCTATGCACAATCAGAATGTAACCTGAAGTAACTAGCTTCCCGAGACACACACGGTACAGTAGGTGGCGGTATGCACCTAAGCTGCTGGTTGCCACCCGCCAATAATCGACAGAAGAAGAAGAAGTAAACACGTCTCTGTAAACCGCTGAAAAATGGCTAAAGTGAGAATACTGGAGGATTATCGTTGGACGGACAGATTTGACCAAAGCACAAGGACTCGTGCTCGTGCATCGTGTTTTCGGAGTTTTTTACGGATTATTACATGGAGGAGGAGCAGGACTTTTTGCGGTCCTCGGCAGGTGGACAGCGTGTTTCCCTTCTTCATAATTACAAAGGGCCTGACCAGTAACTTTAAGGTAAGGAACATCAGTTTTGGATGTGTTTGTAAAGCGAGTGATGAAACTGATGTAGCGTGAGTTTGGGGAAACTGCACCGGGCTAGCACGAGTGTTCAACCGGTCAATACGCCCGTTAAACCTCGCTGTCTGGACTCTAACTTAACCAAATAATATCTGAATTAGTCATTTGACGGATAAATGTTTGCTTCCTTTACCCCTTGACTCAGTTTTATCTGCGTTTGTGGAAAATGTGAAGATACAAGCGTTGAGAGGTTTCTTTGCGATGGCAGGAGTGTGTGGCTGAAGCTAAATGTGGATGCAAACACGAGCGCGCCGTCTCATAAGAGCTTAATTCACTGAGTTTTTCACAAAGCACAAAGGTGGACAGCTGCTAAGCATTTTTGAAACGTGTCCCCCCCCCCACCTTCCAAACGCTTCCGACGCCGCTGTGCGGGCCGCATCCGGCATTTAGGAATCGAAAAAAGAATCAAAATACAAACGTCTTCTTAACGGTTCCGGAACCGCACTTTAGGAACCGGTTCCAAATAGGAACCGGTTCTCGGTGCCCAACCCTAGTCCCAGGTCTATCAGAGTCCCAGGTCTATCAGAGAGTCCCAGGTCTATCAGAGAGTCCCAGGTCTATCAGAGTCCCAGGTCTATCAGAGTCCCAGGTCTATCAGAGTCCCAGGTCTATCAGAGTCCCAGGTCTATCAGAGTCCCAGGTCTATCAGAGTCCCAGGTCTATCAGAGAGTCCCAGGTCTATCAGAGAGTCCCAGGTCTATCAGAGAGTCCCAGGTCTATCAGAGTCCCAGGTCTATCAGAGTCCCAGGTCTATCAGAGAGTCCCAGGTCTATCAGAGAGTCCCAGGTCTATCAGAGTCCCAGGTCTATCAGAGTCCCAGGTCTATCAGAGTCCCAGGTCTATCAGAGAGTCCCAGGTCTATCAGAGTCCCAGGTCTATCAGAGTCCCAGGTCTATCAGAGTCCCAGGTCAGAATGTGCCCAGATTGAAGTCATATAGTATCATATTTTGCAGTGTGTTGTGAGCATCGAGTCTGTTACGGAGAACTGTGGTTTTCACAGAATGGTTCGTACCAGAAAGAGGCTGAATGGTTCGTACCAGAAAGAGGCTGAATGGTTCGTACCAGAAAGAGGCTGAATGGAGAAAGCGTCGCTGGTCTCAATCACAAAGATCTGGAACTCAAAGTCGATGGGACAGCTGCATCTCAGAGGAATCACACCAGACACACTGAGGAGACAAAACAACACTTCTGTATGACACCAGCAGAGACACCAGCAGAGGCACCAGCACAGGTACCGGCACAGGCACAGGCACCAGCACAGGCACCGGCACCAGCACAGGCACCAGCAGAGGCACCAGCACAGGCACCAGCACAGGCACCAGCACCAGCACAGGCACCAGCACAGGCACCAGCACAGGCACCAGCACAGGCACCAGCACAGGCACCAGCACAGGCACCGGCACAGGCACCGGCACCAGCACAGGCACCAGCACAGGCACCAGCACAGGCACCAGCACAGGCACCGGCACAGGCACCAGCACAGGCACCAGCACAGGCACCAGCACAGGCACCGGCACAGGCACAGGCACCGGCAGAGGCACCAGCACAGGCACCGGCAGAGGCACCAGCACAGGCACCGGCAGAGGCACCAGCACAGGCACCGGCAGAGGCACCAGCACAGGCACCAGCAGAGGCACCAGCAGAGGCACCAGCAGAGGCACCAGCACAGGCACCGGCAGAGGCACCAGCACAGGTACCAGCAGAGGCACCAGCAGAGGCACCGGCACAGGCACCGGCACAGGCACCGGCACAGGCACCGGCACAAGCACCGGCACAACACCGGCACCGGCACCGACACCGGCACCGACACCGGCACCGGCACCGGCACCGACACCGGCACCGGCACCGACACCGGCACCGACACAGGCACCGACACCGGCACCGACACCGGCACCGGCACAGGCACAGGCACAGGCACCGGCACAGGCACCGGCACATGCACCGGCACAGGCACCAGCACAGGCACCGGCACAGGCACCGGCACAGGCACAGGCACCGGCACAGGCACCAGCACAGGCACCAGCACAGGCACCGGCACAGGCACAGGCACCGGCACAGGCACCAGCACAGGCACCAGCACAGGCACCGGCACAGGCACAGGCCTGTGCCGGTGCCTGTGCTAAGTAGAAGAGACAAAATTATTGGGGGTAATAGTTGATTCAAAGTTGTCATGGAACAGTCACATAAATTGTATAGTTAAAAAAATGGGAAGAAGCATGGGGATGATCAAACACTGTAGGAAATGTATACCACAGTGGTTGACCAAGAGACTTGTGCAGTCATTAGTTCTTTCCCAGATGGATTATGCGTCGGTGGTTTGGTCAAACACATGTGAAAACAACCTACACAAATTACAAGTCGCTCAGAACAAAGCTGCCAGAATTGTATTGAGCTGCCCGTACAGAACAAATGTCACAACAATGCACAACAGTTTAGCCTGGCTCACTGTAAAAAGCAGAACACAGTATTATTTATTAACGTTTATCAGGAATGTTTTAGTGTCACACAATCCTGAAACAATATATAATAAATTGAAACTGTTTTCAAATTCCCATGATCATGCCACACGGCAAAGTAGTGATTTAAGGTGTGTGCTCCCTGCTTGCAGAACAAATAAAATGCAGAAAACTGTAGTCTATCGAGCCATGGTTGCATGGAACTTGTTGCCCTCCTTTCTGATCAAAGAGAGTGAGAGAATTCATTTTCAAAAGAAATTAAAGCTATATCTTTTCACACATGAACATTAATTATACATCAAATATAATATTTTATATTTGAGTTGGACTGAAACCACTGGAGAAAGTTCATTTGTTACTATTATTATTATTATTATTATTATTTTTTATTTTTTCATAGTTGTAAATGATTTCTCACTGAGCTGTCATATCGTCGTGTGTGTGTGTGTGTGAGTGTGTGTGTGATTTATGTATAAAAATATGTAAAAGCATGTAATGATTTTGAGGAGACCCCAGGAAGATTAGCCATTGCATCTCAGTGGCTAATGGGGATCTTAATAAACTAAAACTAAAAACAGGCACCGGCACCAGCACAGGCACCAGCACAGGCACAGGCACCGGCACAGGCACCAGCACAGGCACCAGCAGAGGCACCAGCAGAGGCACCAGCACAGGCACCGGCAGAGGCACCAGCACAGGCACCGGCAGAGGCACCGGCACAGGCACCAGCAGAGGCACCAGCAGAGGCACCAGCAGAGGCACCAGCACAGGCACCGGCAGAGGCACCGGCACAGGCACCAGCAGAGGCACCAGCAGAGGCACCAGCAGAGGCTTGGTTGCGGTGAAGAATGGCAAGTGTTAGACTGTCTGATTAACTTCCTGTTTTAAGTCTGTTGTGTGTTTTTTGCCACTGCTTTGTATTTTCTAATTGTATATTTTTGTATGTCTTAGTATGTGCAGCACGTGTTGGTCAACTGGACTGGACTGGACTGGACTGGAAGAGACAGGGGGAGGCCTGGGGGTCCGGCTCCGTCCCGGCCTCACACACCTTTGCTGCAGCTCGGTGGCCGGGAGGTGGATGTGCGGCGGGATGTGCAGGTCATGGATCACAGGGTAAGCGTGAACTGGAATGATCAGGTTCTCCTCGCCCTGATGGACAAACACCAGAGAGAAGAGTTTGGACACGGGTTAAGAACACACACAGGACAGGCTGCAACAGAATGGCTCAAA